ATTTTATGTAAATAATGATACATTTAAATAATTTCATGATTATTTATTTAATGTGGCACTCTTGACATTTGATAGRTGTTCGTCTTAACATTAAATTTTAAATATATTGAGTTCAGATGTGTAGTGGTAGTAGCTGAGAGTCCTCAGTAACACATGTCCTGAGTGCTAACAGACTGAGCAACATCTATGGTTTAATTTACGTGAAGGAGTGCTGTTGTAATAAAATAAAAATAAAACAACGCAAGCTTGTTGTTGGTCTAAGACTCCAAAACACAGCTGCAGCGTTAAAGAAAAAACACTTTTTATGCAAAAAAAACATAAAAAGAAGTTTTAGTTTGTTTGTAAATGTCTAAATTATATAAATAAAACATAAAAAGAAGTTTTAGTTTGTAAATGTGCAAAGGTGCAGAGAAAGATGATAAAAACTTGATGTAATGTTTAGTTTTTGGATGTTTCAACTGTTGGTTTAATTTAGTAAAATTAATAATAAAAACGATGAAACAGAACCTAAATTATTCTTATAACACCTAAAATAACTGAATACTCTTCAACAGCACGTCTGCAGTTGTACGTAACTTTGAATCTAAGCAGAAAAAAGGACCATTTAACCTTGAATTTATTTCTTATCGCCCGTCGATTTATGCGATCTGTTACTGACCAGTGTATGTGTTGAGGAAGACTCTCAACCATTGATCTATATTACTGGATTGGACATCACCTTTAGCTGCTATGGCTAGCGACGCGCCGTCACAGGAGCCATTGCTATGCATTGAGTCATGTCAACAAAACAGTAGCGTTTTGATTCTGGATGCTCGTCAATCTGTCACAAAAATATTCACAGCACCCTCATTTCTTATCTGATTTCTATAAAATATGGCTTAAATTAAAGCTGAGAAAATTGTTGATGTTGTGATATGTAAAAAATATGTATTTGCTCAAGAGGTAAATCCATAAGCAGTCTGGGAACTTTTTATTATAGGTTTTTGCTAACGTATTTACAGTAGAAGCCCCTTAAAACTGAGTCGTGTTTCATATACTGTATGTATGTAATTCTAATTTTACATTTGTTTCCTGGTTCTTCTTTCACGCTGAAGTGACTACAGACAAATTCCTCCAGCTGGTCATAAGATAAATGCGGTCGGTCCCTCCACAGCTTAGTTTATGAAATGTACGGTGAAGGAAAAAAAGTTAGAGTTTTTTCCTCTGATATAAAATCATAAACTACAGGATATACCTGCTRACTGGACAGAACATCAGTACCAGTAATATCTACACAGTTCAGCCTAGTAGTAGTAAAGGTAATTTGACTGTTGTCCATTATATTTACCTCATTATCCTAACATAATAACAATATTAATAAAAAATATAATAATTTGTTGGAACAGCAAATTATGTCTTTTCCTTGGTTTACCCGACATGTTTGTCAAAATCAGGCTGCATAACTGACCTACTTTCTGCATCTCCGACATTTTTTAAAATAAAAAATATTTTAATGACCTGTAAAATGTGATAACCTTGATCTTGTTGTTGTAGTGTTGACAATTTATGGTAAAATATTGCATCCCTTTTTGATATTCCTTGCATGACTGTCTGCTGCATCCCCCTTTTACCACCATTCATGGATGTTCCTGAGTGAAAACTCGATGCATAATGGTGCCTGTGTGGCACACGATAAGTCACGTGATGTCCAGTCCAGTAAAATAGATCAATGATCTCAACTACCACCAGATTTCTGCTTAATATCTGTTAAACTGACTGATCTGAAGCATCTTCCTGTTGACTAACATCATTAAAGCAGGTGATGAGATATTTTGCTAACTTGCATGAGACTTGCTTGAGTGCGCATGTGTTCTCCTCGTTCCTTTTATAGCCTCACATTCGAGGGCGGGGGGTGCGGGGGTGAGGAGTGGCCCGCTTTTGCAGACATGGCAGCTTGTTGAGGTGTGTGTGGGGGGGGGTGTGTGTGGGGGGGTATGTGTAACAAGGTGCCTGCCCCTCGAAACCCATCCCTCCCATCAGGGGGATCGGAAGCGAGGGGAGCCTCCTGTCACTCTCTCACAGCCCGGTGAGAGCAGAGGACTCACACTGTCCTCCAGCACCCTCACACACACACACACTCACACACACACACACACACACTCACACACTCACAGGCTGACAGAGGGAGCACAGCAGCGAGGACGGACATATATAAAACCCTGAGCGGACAGATCACCAGGATTTTCTGTCTTTCTCCCGAGGAGCTGAGAAAGACCCCGGGAGGAAGATGGCAGAAGGAGGAGAGGGAGAGGAGGAGATCCAGTTCCTGCGAACGGTGAGTGTGCGAGGACCAGCGTGTACCGGCTGCTGCAGGATCACAGAACACTCAGGAAATAACTCAGACTCTCTGAGATTCAACTTTAAACCTACAGAGATGGATAAATCTGAGATCCTTCCACGGCTGTCAGAGAAAAACCAGACTGATATGACTGGGTCCAMACTGAACCAGTTTCATCCTTTTGGTCCCAGAAACTTTGGTTCTTGTCAGGTTCTTGTTGGTGAATTTCTGTCYGGTGTTTGGGTTTTTCTGTCAGTGCTGAGGTACTTTCATTGTGGAGTTCAGCTTGAATGGTTTTGAAGGTTTTTTGAGCTCTTTTTTTTTATCATCCACACAACATGGGGCTGCATGTCCTCTTGCGTCCACATCCTGGGAGGTTGGCTATAATCTTGTGAACCTTCTACTTGTTAATAGTCTTGTCAGCTGTGGTCAGAGGAATATTAAGCTTCTTTAACGCAGAGATCTTAAATCTTCTGAGCTCCTCAGATCTTTGAGGTCTCGGCTCCGGGTTCGGGTTCGGTGCGGTGAACAGAACCAAACCAAGCGACCCGGYGACTGTTCGCTTTAAACAAGCTAAATGTTTGGTGAAAGTCTTGAACGCTCCTGAGATACTAATTAAAGTCAAGCACTTTATTTAAAGCGTAACTATAAGGAATATTTGTCTCTTTAAAGGGACTAACAAATTCCGTTAGCTACAAGCTAACTGTTGCAAAAGGCTAGCTAAAATTAACTAAAGCTTAGTTAAAAGGCCAGCTAGCTAAAAAGCTTTCTAAGCAATGAGCTAAAAGTCGCGTGGAATATTGAGATTGGATCAAAACGTTAAAAAAAACACAAATAATTTCTTTTCATATGTTTGCCACATACTAAAACAGCAGATGTACATCTAATAAATGTTTTTATTTTTAACTCTGCTTTAATGAGCTAAAAGGAGATTTCTTTAAAATTGGATCTGCAGCAGCATTTTGCAGAACTGAGCCTGACTTCTGAATATAGTTGACTATTTTTGCTGCGCCCCTGATGAGCCATGACCTCCTTATTAGTTGTTCTTACTGAACCTCATCATGGATTTATTTTTTAACCTACATTATTTTATCAAATTAAAACACAGGAATGAACGTTTTAGTTCTTTTTCTTTTAAAGTCAGAATGTTGTTGATTTATAAAAAAGGTGCAGTTCATGTGCGAGGGCAAATAGACAGACAGGAACTGGTGCATCTGTTATCATGAGTATCTATTTATATCAGAGGAAAGTGGAGCCGGTCGGTGCGGGGCCACAAGCTGTCCAGAGTCTGCAAGGAGACCAAAAACTGCAGCTTTTCTTTTTCTTTGGAGGAATAAAACAGATTTATGGTGATGAGGCGACGACTCAGAGGGGAAATCCTCCCAAAGTGACCTCAGAGYGCTGAGCTGCTTTTAAGATGGTACATATGAAGTAGTACACATAAAAATACACATTTTACAGTTTTCTACGTAGTTTTAATGTACTAAGATATTTCAACTGATGTGTCTGTAGGTTTTCTAAAGAAGTTAAAGCTTGTTTTGATAAAATTAAATTGTGAATTTAAAAAAATTACTCACCAACCTACTTACCTGACTCACTCACTCATTCACTCACTCATTCACTCACTCACCTGACTCACTCACTCACTCACTCACTCACTCACTCACTCACTGACTGACTGACTGACTGACTGACTCACTGACTCACTGACTGACTCACTCACCCAACTGACTGACTCACTCATGACTGACTCACTGACTCACTCACTCACCCAACTGACTGACTCACTCATGACTGACTCATTCATTCACTCACTCACTCACTCACTCACTCACTCACTCACTGACTGACTGACTGACTAACTGACTGACTCACTCACCTGACTGAGTGACTGACTAACTGACTGACTCACTCACCTGACTGAGTGACTGACTAACTGACTGACTCACTCACCTGACTGAGTGACTGACTAACTGACTGACTCACTCACCTGACTGAGTGACTGACTCACTGACCGACTCATTCACTCATTCACTCACTCACTCACTCACTGACTAACTGACTGACTCACTCACCTGACTGAGTGACTGACTCACTGACCGACTCATTCACTCACTCACTCACTCACTGACTAACTGACTGACTCACTCACCTGACTGAGTGACTGACTAACTGACTGACTCACTCACCTGACTGAGTGACTGACTAACTGACTGACTCACTCACCTGACTGAGTGACTGACTCACTGACTCACTCACTCACTCACTCACTCACTCAATGACTGACTCACTGACTGAGTGACTGACTCACTGACTGATTGACTCACTCACTGATTGACTGACTCACTCACTGACTGACTGACTCACTCACTGACTGATTGACTCACTGACTGACTCACTCACTCATTGACTCACTCACTCACTCACTGAGTGACTGACTCACTGACTGACTCACTCACTAATTACCTATATACTTAACTAATTAATTAAGTAACTGACTAGTGTTAAAATGCTGAAAACTGTTCTTAAAACAAAAAGAAGCAGAACATTAGCTTAATGCCATGAGGGACTAATTCTAGCAGGGCAGAAAAACACTTAACAAAAGCTAAAAGAAGCCRAATGCTAGCCAGAGGACAAACACAATAAAACACTAGATAAAATCTAAAGGTAACATGAAATGAGTTTAAAGCTAAAAGTCACAAACCTTTAGCGAAAACTAACAAAATATGAGCTGAAAGCTAAAAGTAACTTAGCAGCTGTTTGTAAGCCTCCTCTTAGTTTTTTCTGTTCCATTAGAAATGATTAAAAACKGATAATTGTTGATTGAGTTGAGGATTGATTGACAGATTTGTTTTGTCTCGATGACTCTTTGATCTAATTAGATGCTAAAATAAACAGTTCAAAGCTGAAACGATCTGAACGATGCTGTCGGCTCAGACGACCTCATGCAGCTCAGCTCTGCTCCATTACAGAACTAAATATAGAATTTATTTAGTCTCATCAGAACTAGGGTTGGGCATAATCGTATCGTGTGCAATTAATCGTCAGAAAAACATTAATCGATTAATTTTTGGCACTTGAAGATTAATATGATTAATGCCACCAGGTAGACTAACCGCATGGTGCTCCTCTCTGATTCAAATATGACCAACATTAAAAAAAAGTTGTGTAATTTGTTTATCAATCAACACAATTTAAAGTTTGATGTATAGCCTGAAGTCTGTAATTTTGACACAATTTGGAAAAGAGTTTTACAAAGAGCCAATTTTCTCCCTATACGTTGGTCATGTGACCAGGATATAATGGTGTCCAGGGACTCTGGGGGATTAATCGTCAAATTAATTGTTATCGGCTAAATATCACAATTAATTATGATTAATTTTTTTGCCAATATTGCCCAACCCTAATCAGAACCGGGCAGACGGGCTGGCCTTTAGGTCCGGTCAGAACGGGACAATAAGCCTGCAGAACTTCAAAGGATAAAACGCTGCAGCTTAGTGTGAATTATTAATACTTGTTGAACTTCAAGGGGTTTATCTCCGTCACCATGGCCCGGCTCACAGATCGGATCAGAACCACAGATACAGAACCAAGTCTAGTGTTTTTGGAGCTGTGGGGTTAAATCAGCTGTTCTCTGGTTCTGGATCGGATCAGGGCAGGGACAGTGGTTTTTCATAGTTTGGTTTTAACTGTTTCCTTCAGTTCAGCTCCTCCTCTCATCTGCCCCGCCCACTTTCACCTGTCAGCATCCAGCTCAGGTGTGTCCACATCCCATTTACCTCAGCAGCAGTGCATTGYGGGACATTTTGATAAGACCGCCACCTCTGTGGTGACTTATTAGTTGTAAAAACAAAGTTAATACCCCTCAAACGGTGTTTGACACTGTTTGAGAGGCRGGGGACACCCTGGACATGTCTCCAGTCCATCATGAGGACACATGGAGACAAAAAACCCTCTTTGTGTTCCAGTTCAACAACGATGCAAAGATATTTTTGAGCACTGATTACTCTGCAGCTGTTTGATTTGTTTCTGGTTTTGTGGCTAAAAAGAGCCTCTGATTGGGACTGGTGAAGCTGAGTGACGTCAGACCACCTGAACTGCCATCTTTTCTGAAAACGTCCCACCGCCTCCCGACCACCACCAGCCGGTGACGTGTCTCTGCAGCGTCACGGTTCCACGGCGACACGCTGGTGCTGTAAATCACGCAGGCAGCTGAGTTCGAGCTCCGCTCCATAACAGAAGGGCCTTTTTTTAGCGGGCCACTAGAAGCTCACTGGCTCTGGAGGGAGAAACCGGAGGAGCCGGTGTCCTACTTCCCAGCATCCTTTGGGAGGCGTGGTGTGTGTGTCTGTGTGGACATGATCACTCTTAGCTGCTACCACACAACCAACGCTTCAAAAACAGATTTATCATCATTCATTCAATAATTTATGGTCTTTACACGTTAAAATGTTGAAATTATACTAAATTAGTTTGATGCCAACTGATTTTACTGGAAAAAATAATTTTAACTTAAAAATTTTGTGTGAAAATTCTGCTGAGTAACTTTGAAACTGAGTTGTTCAAGCTTAAAAAAAACAGAATGCTTTCAGAGAGCTAAAATAAAGATAAAACTAGCTAAAAGCTAAATGTAGCAGAAGGCTAACTAAACCCTAAACATAATTAAAGGCTAACTAAATGTTTGAACATAAAACCAGGACAAAAAAAAATCAACGGAGCAAAATGAAAGCTAAAAAAGGCTAAATAGTTAAGCAACCCAATAGTAGCTAAAAGCTAAATTCAACAAAAAATTAGCTTTAAGCTAAAATATACTACATAGTAGCTTAAATGAGCAAAACAGATGCTAAAGCTAAAATTAGCCCGACTTATAAAAACTGCAGCTACAAGCTAGAAAAAGCAGAAAGACAGCTTAAAACTAAAAGTAGAAATAGGCTAGCTAAAAGTTAGCTAATTGCTAAAAGTTTTTTAAAAATGAGKTAAAAGCTAAAAGTAGCAAA